CAAAGGATCTGTGCAGTCTTCTGTGTGAGTGCAGAACTCTCCGCAATAACCCACCCCAAGACAATCAGGGAACTCTGAGTCTCTGATGTCAGACGCAGTGATTGCCCAGAGACCCAGCCATACTGCATGCCCTATTGTATAGCTAGAGAATTCCCACAATCATAGTCTGCAAGGCTTCAGTAGTCACAGGGCACAAAGGATCTGCTGTCAGCCCTGTGAACCTACTCCATCCATGGAGAAATCAGAGGAGTTCCAAGTCAGCTGGCTGTGGGTGCTCTGCCTTGGTAGTTTGAGCCCTGGAGCCTGTGATAGAGTGGGGGGATGGGAGTGCTTCACAGTCCTATTGGGTGTACAGTTCCCTGCCAACCCTCCAGGACAACTCAACGTCAGTGGGGAGCATGGATTTATCTCTCTGGTAAAATCCCCTAGTCACACAAGCAGGTGAGCCCCCATAGCCTGTATTTGTATTAAGATGGTGCTTTCTCCCTGCTGGCAGCCATGCACCACTGTGTGTCCGGGGGAGGGGGGGGGGCTGTTTGCTTTGAACTATGGTTGGCCAAGATGCTTGCACTCCAGACAATCTGAAAGGGGTCTTGGGCTGTTCCCATGTTCAGATGGCTTTTAAAGAGCCTTTTAGTTTGTATGCCTCTTTCATTTGCATGAGGTCATGCTCAGTTCCTATAGGTGTTTCTCAGCTCTGGAGAGCTCTCCACACCTTCTGGAAGGCCTTGTAACAAAAGGAGCTGTTGGGGTGGAGAAACCAGGTGCTCAGACTCTCATTAGTGAGTGCAAAATGAAAACAAAGTGAATGAATGGAGTTTTGAGTGGGAGAATGGCCAGGTCTCTCTTGGTTGAGTCACTAGGGAACATCTGTAGAGAAAATAAACCCCAGCCTAATTTTTCAGTTCATTTTCATTTCTCTACTGAGAGCTGAGAGTAGTGGAGGAAAGTGGGGCAAAGAGAGGGGGCAACTTCTTGGGAAATCAGGGTAGAAAATTTCCATTGAAAATAGAAAATCTGATGATTGAAAGCATTTGGAAGTTCCTGTTCAGCCTTCGTAGGAAATTAGCTTGACATTTAAGAACCTGCCGTTATCACTGAGTCTTGTCTCTTACTTCTCTTTGACTCTCACTCTCTATTTATGTCAGCATAGGTCTTGATCTCTGAATACAAATAATCCTGGGGTTTCCTACATCCAGTCATCATCTTTGTCTTCACTCCCACCCATGCCCTGTGTCCTCGGAAAAGTGTTGCTCCTCTGAACTCTTGTGCCACTCAGTCACATTATCATTTTTCTTACACCGTGTTATCACACTAATTCTCTTTCTCTGTGTATGAGTCTGTCTTGTCACCTCGATTCCAAAGGCCTGGAGAATATAGAACCATGGCTTGCCCCTCTGACCTTTTCCAGCTGTGCTAGATCCACAATTAATGGGTCAAAAAATGACCTCCTGGTTGCTTTTGTTGATCATTACAAGTATATCGTGAGACTAACCCATAGGACTCTGTCCTAATTTTTCATGTGATATTAAGCAAATTTCTGCTCTTTCTTTTCCTCAGTCCCCCATATCTGTAAATAATGGGATTAGATGCAACAAAACCTAAGAGCCCTTCAAATTTTAACAGTATACAATTCTACAATTCTACAAGTCCATGCTTAAAATGAGGAAAGAGAATCAACCCAGCTTAGTAATTGGGAAATGCGAAGGGAATCATTTTTCATAAAAAATACAACTAAATAACAAACAACAACTGAAGAGGAAATAAAGGGGAAGCTAAGGGAAGGTTTGTGGCTAGGAACCTGTGTGAGAATTAAGGCGGGGGAAAATGCAAGCTTTAAAGAATAGTCTTTTGCAGTCCGACGTGTTTTAAAGACATTAATTTTATTTTTCATACACAAAGGGATCTATCTAGGTCTAGTGCCTTTTGTTAGTAAACTGTTGCAATAGCCTAAAAGCAGAAAACCCAAGTACAAGTACCTGCCACTCAGCAGTCAAGCACTCAGAGACCACTAGACCAGGTTAATAAAGTTCCCAGACACTGCCACCTAGTGGAAGTTCAGAGATATAGTTGGTGCAAGTCATCCTTGTATTCTCAGATGGGGCTGCCAGACTTTTGGAGACACAAGGACCAACTCAAGGATGAAACAGTGGGCTGAAAAAGCCTCCTGAAGGAAAGCTTGATAAAGAAACTAAGAGAGACAGAGACAAAGACAAGGCCAAAGCAATTGAGACAAGGGTATACACAGATATTCATGAAGTTAGGTGAACTTTTCATTGAAAATGCGTGGTGGGCATGAAGGGGGGCAGAATTGACACAATTGCTCACTCTGGACCACCAACTCCACTATAGTTTTATGAGGATGGGGTTGGAAGAAGCTCCTGGTATGCCTTATGGGCTTTTCATCTCTTTCATTCTCAATTTCTTGCTAGTCCGTATGCTTCCTCCCACGATCACTCCATGTTCAATTTCCCCAAAAGAAAAATAGAAATGGAAAAACCTTCAAACAACAACAAAAACTACTTTCTTGGATCTGTAGATAAGTGTAGGAGATTATGAAGGATGAAACATTGTTTTTTTGAAAAGAATAATGCTAAAGATGTCCCAGTCTCTGGACACATCTGTACCAAAATATTTCTCTGAAATTCTTTGGTCCTGTCACATTTGAAGTCTTTTCCTGCTCCTGAGCTTCAGACCTATAGTTCCAACTACCTGAGGACATGTCTATTTGGATGTCTTCATGACTTGAAAATTAAATTTTCCAAAATTCACTTCCTTCTCTTTTCTTCTCACAATCTGTCTCCATCCATTGTTCCTTATTTCTGTGTCTGCCCCTCCAACCCTCCCAATAATGCAACCCTAAAAATCATTGTCCCCCACTTTCAATGCTTTTGAAACACAGAAATAACATTCTCCAGTACAGACTATATGGGATTCCTGTGTTGCAGGCCATGGCTTTACCAGCTATACCACAGTGCTGGCCCTTACTATGAAAATCTGAATGGCAAACATCAACCAATGTAGATAAAATAGGAAAGTTTGTAAAAAAGAAAAAGAAAAAAAAGAAAAAAAGACAAGAATTACCAAAGCTGACCAGAAAAGAAATAGAAAATTTAACTAAATGTATGCTAAGTAAAGAAATTTATATAGTAAAGCAATTTATATAGAAATTAAATATCTTCCTACAAAGAAAAGTCCAAGATCAGATGGCTTTTCTAGTGAATACTATCAAATATTTAAATAAGAAATAACCCCAACCCCTCACAAAAAAATAGTGAAGAGAACACCGCCCATGGGTGGCGCCGCGGCTCACTTGGCTAATCCTCCTCCTGTGGCACCAGCACCCCGGGTTCTAGTCCTGGTCGGGGCGCCGGATTCTGTCCCGGTTGCCCCTCTTCCAGGCCAGCTCTCTGCTGTGGCCCAGGTCCTTGGGCCCTGCACCCACATGGGAGACTGGGAGGAAGCACCTGGCTCCTGGCTTTGGATCAGCGCAGCGCACTGGCCGCAGCGCGCCTGTCGTAGTGGCAATTTGGGGGGTGAACCAACGGCAAAGGAAGACCTTTCTCTCTCTCTCTCTCTCTCTCTCACTGTCTAACTCTGCCTGTCAAAAAAAAGAGAGAGAGAGAGAGAGAGAGAGAGAGAGAGAGAACACAGCCCAGATCATTCTGCAGGGTTGATATTAGCCTGATCATGAAATCACAAGAAAACAAAAATACCAACCAACATTGTTCATGGTCATAAACATAGACAAAATTCTTAACAAAGTATTAGGAAACCAAAAGTAGCAACATGTGACATGGCTTATAGTCTCTGGCCAAGTAAGATTTATTTCAGATATGGAGTGTTAGTTTAGTTTAGTTTAATGTTTGAAAATCAATTTAAAATAATAGATCATATTAATGGACAAAAACCATTTGATCATCTCAATAAATCCCCTCAAAACACTATTTTCTGAAAACTGAAATCCAACATCCATCATAATAAAAGCTCTAAATAAACTTGCCTCATATTGGTAAGGGACATCCACAAAAGCAATAAATAATTGAATTAATAAATAAATAGGACAACATGCAGCTTCATGTCACACTTAATGGTGAATGCTTTAAAATGCCACTTACAATAGCACAAAAATGAATAAAATTAGGGGTAAATCTAACAAAATATATTTTAAAAAAAAACCCTGTGTGCTGAAAACTGTAAATCATTACTGAGCAAAAATACAAGGAAACTTCAAAATGTTTATGGAAATTTGTATTATGGAAAAACTATACAAAGATTTTGAAATACGTTATTCCAAAATGCACCTACTTTTAAATTCCATTTTCCATAACCTTTTTGGAGTACCCTTATAACTATATATATAATTGGCGATAGAAATCATGTTCACGGATTGAAAGTCTCAATATTGTAGGAGGGCGATTATCCCCAAATAGATATATAATGTTAAGGCAACCCTACCAGAACCACAGCAGCCTTTTGTATAGAAACTGACAAGTTTGTACAGAAATACGAAGGATACAGAATAGCCCAAACAGTTTGGAAAAGGAACAACGAATTGGTTTCAAAACATAGACATCTAGACAAGATGATATTTGTACAGGACAGGAAGAGTTCAGTGGAACCAAGTTGAGAGTCCATTTATGGTCAATTGATTTTGATCAAACATGGCAACGTTAAGTTAACAGAGGATGCATCATCTTTTCAACAAATGGTCTAGGACAACTGGTTATCCATATGTAAAAAGAGGAATTCATATTGCTACTGCATACCACCCCCCCACACACATATACAAAGTAATTTAAACTAGGTTATACACCGAAAGGTCTGGGATACATCCATAAAATTTCTAGGAAAACATGAGAGAAAATATTGTGGCATTAGGTTGGGCAGAGTTCTTATATACAATACCCAGCACACTAGATGGAAAATTTAAAATTAGTGAATTGATTTTTGTCTACATAAAAGCTTTCCTGTGGTGTTCTCCATTTCTTGGCACAGTCATGGTGGGTTTGCTGAGGAAGACCACTGGCCTTGTGGGAGTGGCTGTATGTGACAGTCCACATGAGAGGATAAGAACATTGTACACAGAGATTCTTGACGCTCTTGAATAAATGCCTAAAAGTGCAAGGTAATATAAAAAACTTAGAAGGTATACTTCAGAGGGTGGCCCAATAGAAGAGGTGGTTCTTCAGGCTGAAAAGGAACTAAGTCTGGCAAGAAAAATGATGCATTGGAAACCATGGGAGCCATTAATGGAAGAACCTCCTGCCAACTAGTGGAAATCATCATTATGTGATTTTTGATAGGTTGATGGGAAACTGATGTAATTAAATGTTCTATTGCTTCCATGTTATTGACATCTTATAGTCAAGAAAACTGACACAGGAAGTATTTGGGAGACTTACTAAAATTAGCTATTATGATAATAGAGTCTTGCGAATCCATTTTTGATTTACAAAGTATTTACTCAGATTATTTCAACAATAGTATTTCTTTGAACAGAGAGGTTGTGGGGAGATTTGAAAGTCAGTTAATTAGAAAAATTCCCATTAGTCTTCAATACTAAGCCATAATCAAAAGGCCAACTATCTATAGTAGAACCGTCAAAACATTCTTTAATTTTTTTTACTATCAAGAAAAGTTTTGGAGGAAAGGTATTTAGTTATTGTTTTCTAAACAAATTTACAGGTCGCCATTAGAAGTGAATATGATTAGTTGTGAGAAAACAGCAAAACTAGATGGTGGTAAAATTTTATCTTGTGGATAACGTGCTTAGCAGTGATCTCAAGTTTATAAAGTAAGATAAAAAGACGTAATTACATTGATTACCACATTCATTAACAATGTCATTTTGGTTTATATTTTAATATCTCATTTATTGTTTCATATTGTCTTAATTTTATCATATTGCTGTTACTCTACCAACTTTGGTAGATACTACCTATCATCAAATTAGGATTTATTGTACTGTTGAAGAAATTAGTTTGGTACTTGAAAGAAATGCTTTTTGTCGTACAGAGGTAGTTGGAAACACTTTTCCTTTTTTCCTTTAAGGAAGTTAGCTTTCGGGCCTTTAGCCTTTTTTTTTTTAAGATTTATTTATTTGAAAGACAGAGTTACACACAGAATGAGAGGCACACAGAAAGAGAGAGGTCTTCCATCCACTGGTTCACTCCCTAGATGGCCACAACAGCCAGAGCTGTACCGATCCGAAGCCAGGAGCAGGAGCTTCTGCCCTGTCTCCCATGCAGGTGCAGGGACCCAAAGACTTGAGCCATCCTTCACTGCTTTCCCAGGCCACAGCAGAGAGCTGGATCAGAAGTGGAGCATTCGGGACTCGAACTGGCGCCCATATGGGATGCCGGCACTACAGGAAGTGGCTCCACCTGCTATGCCACAGCGCTGGCCCCATCAGGGCCCTTAGCCTTTGATTGCATTGGTCAACTCAACCACATCAGAATAGAGGTGGAATTTCTTTTTAAAAAGGGCTGTGAAGTGAGTTTCTGGAGATTGCCTGGCATACAGACAGGCTTATATTCAAAATGTCTTAGTCTTGTGTTACAATTTCAGAGTGAAATCATCATGTAGTTTTCACTAAATTTCTGCTATGTGTGCAGCTAGATCTCTAAAACAGAAGACAAATACTATTTGAGGAAAAACATGGTGGTATGCTTACTGTTAAGCGAATGGACTTTTCTTCTGTTCTCACCTTGTTCCTCTCTGTGTAGTTCTGACTTTCAAATAAATAAATAAAATTTAAAAATAAAAAAGAATAATTTTTTATTTAAAAAACACTTAGAATGCAATGCTTGAAAGGCAAATAGCCCAAATGAAACTTTTGCAAAGGGTCTGAACAGACATTTCTCCAAAAACAATATGCTCAAACACAAACACATTGGGGAACTGCAAGTCAAAATAACAACATATTGTGTCACATCCACTAGGATGGTTATAAGCACAAAGAAAGACAACAAGTATTGACAAGGATGTTTAGCCATCAGAACCCTTCTACACTGCTGGGGGCAAAGTAAAATGGTATAGTCACTTTAGAAAAGAGTGCCAGTTCTTCAAGAGTTAAATAAGCATAGACTTACTATCTAACCCACAAATCTCACTCCTAGGTATGTATGCCAAAGAAATGAAACCATACAAGGGTACTTCAGAAAGTGTGTGGAAAAATGGGAACTAAAAGATAAATTTATTTTAGTGCAAATTTTTTTGAAATCTGCAATTTTTCTCAGAATGTGCATTTTACATGAACTTTTGGAAGAGCCTTAATAAGTCCACACAAAAAAATTGTACAAATGTTTATAGCAGCATTATTTAATAACTCAAATATCCATTGGTTCATGAATATATAAATAAAATGTGGTACATCCAATCAATGGGATATTATTTGGGTATGAAAAACAGTGGAGTACTGATCCATACTGCAGGTGGATAAACCTAGGAAACATGCTAAGTGAAAGAAACTATTTACAAAAAGCCGCATATTGCATGATGCCATTCATATAAAATATCCAGAATAGGCAAATTTATAGACGCAGATACAGATCAGTGGCTGTCACTGGCTGGAGGGTGGAGGGAATGGGGGAGGGTAACTGTTAATAGATATCAGGTTTTTTTGGGGAATGGTGAAAATGTTCTGGAATTATATGATGTTAGAGTTTTGGGAATATTCTGAAAATCGTGACTTGTATCTTCTAAGTATGTGAATTGTATTTATATCTCAATAAAGCTATTGCCAAAACAAAAACTTCTATTTCCCTAAGCATTAAGTCCAATGTTCATGGCCCGGAAGGCCAGAGCTTCACTTCTGGGTAACTGTGCAATCTGGTATGCACTGTGCATTTATGTCCATTGTTCACACAGCCTGTGTATGACTGCACAACTGTGCGTCTGCTCCTCCTGTTCCCCTCCTTCCCCTGTGATGTCTCGTTTGCTTTGTTTATCTAGCGAGTTGCGACTAATTTTCCAGGAAGCAGCACAAGTCCCTCCCCTCTTCCTGATCACCACTCTCCCTTTCCTCTGGCGTGACTGTTCCCAACACACACCTCTATCTATCACTGAACTTTTTTTCAGAACTCCATGGAAATTGAGTTTACCTGCTTGCTTTCTAAAGCAGTTGATGAGTTCATTGTGGGCTCAAGTCAGATTTACCTCTCTCTTCCAAGAACAGGGCTGATGTGCCATAGACTCTAGTTACATAATTATCAGTTGAGTAAATGATCTTAGGTAGACTACCTGTTATGCTTATCATGCTGTCACTCCACTTTATCAGAGTGATATTCAATGCCCCTTGAGCTGGAACAAGCTCACAGAACACATGGAAGGGTAGAGCAGGCCTGCTTGGTAATATGGAGGGTGGCCCTACAGTGCAGATGGCTGGGCCACCAGAAAGCCAACAGAGGCATGGCTGGGAGAGGGGGTATTGTGAGCCACCAGCATTGAGACAAGTAGCAGGCAGAGGGGAAAGACCAGTGGGAATTCTTTCAATTCAAAGGAGCTGCCAGGGTAGGGCTGTACAGAAGAGAGGGCCAAACTGTTGTGGCTTAAAAGGCAAAATAAGGCCTAACAGTAGTTCTTGAGTCATGACCTAACATGGACATCTCCTGGGGATATAACTCCTGAGAGTTTGACCTCTGTTGACATTGCCATATAGACTTCTATAAATGCTCGGGTCATATCAGACAAAGGCTTCTTAATTCCACAGGGAGCCCATCAGGTGGCCTTGTGTTCCAGACTACCAACTTTGAACCTGTATAGCCTTCAGCCAGAAAGGCTAGCTGGCTCTAGCTTAGTCTGACAGTTGGATTGGATGGATGAAACATGGGACAAAATGTGGCCTATACTAAATGAAGTTGAAATGCTACATAACTGCCTTAGTATGCTGTACAAGAAGGAATTCTCTGCCTTATGTTTGTAACAGAAACCTTGCCTAAGTTTTCAGCCTGCTGGCCTGCCTTATGGATTCCTGACTCTCAATTTTGAACTTGAGATACTCCCAAAAATCCCTCTCTCTCTTTCTCTCTCTCTCTCTCTCTCTCTCTCTCCACACACACACACACACACACTTCAAAAAGTTCATGGACAAATGGAATGAAAAATGATACACATTCTACATGATCTTCCTGAATCCCCCATATATATCCTATTTTTCTGCTTCTCTAACGAACCCTGACTGATACCCCCAGCAAACGGAGAAACAGTTCAGGAGAAAAAAATGTGACATGTGTGTCCAAATCACAATTTTGTCTAGGGGCAACTTTCCCATGAGAAAGCCAGCTTCCATCAGCAGCCTGTTCACCGTCTTTCAGCTTCTAATTCAAAACAGTTCTTTCTTTGCCTGGCAAAGTCCTACTTGACAATAAACACTTCTGATGAAATGTACAATCAGGGGCCTGTGACAGAGAGGTTTCTAGCGAGGCCTGGGTTTTCTGTCACTACGGTGGCAGAAGGACAGTGCTATCTTTCTTTCCCACTGTGAGACAGAAGCCGGTCTGAAACCACTCCTGTGAGAGTCTGGGTGTGGTTGTGATTAGAAGCCAAGCAAGCTCAAATGAGAGAGGGAGAAGTTTCAGGAGCAGTCATTTATCAACAAATACATGCCCGAGGCAAAAGCGGTGGGTTTTGCCACTTGCCAGTTTGAGCTGATTTGCCTGAACTTGAGAGCTTTGCCAATTACCAGCTTCTTCGGCAGTGCACATCCAAGAAGTGAGACAATGCGCTCTGCAGGACCTCCCCCCACCCCCACCCCAGCAGCCATGGACAAGGTGGGCGCTGAACAACACGCTTGAGCTGTGTTGATAATTAAGGAGGGCCTAGGGAAGCAGAGAAGGCTGTTTTAGTTCAAATGACCTGGAGAAAAAGAAAGTACAGGAAAGACAGTCCTTTTAATGGGGTCTTTACCTTTCTTCTAAAACCTGCCTCTTTAGATCGAAACGTGAATACATTTCATACAAGACACTTAAGACTGCGATTAAGTCAAATTGCTCAATTTTTCCCTTCAGCCACATCCATAGCCATGATCCTCTGCCAGCGCCAGATGTTTCTAGGAGCGGTTAGCTCAAAAGCTCACTTGACATCATTCTGTGGCATTCCTTTCATTGATGTTTAACAGAGGACACAAGGCTTGACTCACACCTTGGCCAGAAACCACGTTGATTAAGGCAAGCTGCAAGGAGTCACAACCTCCCTGCCTGACTGGGGCCAGCTTTGCCTGTCCGCAGCACTGTAGAAAGAGCCTTCTTGTCTGGGATAGAGCGCCTCCCAGGGT